CTGGCCCAGAAGGAATCAAAATATGTGATCTTCTACCATTCCTTAACTAAGCTGTTAGTACCTATGTGCATGTGTGAAAAGCTTATTAGGCAGGGGCAAGTAACTGTCTATTGCCATCCAGCTTTACGGCCTAATCCTACGCATTTCTATTTAGAAATTACCCTTATTAAATTCCATGGAACTTACTCTCAGGTAAGTCGGCCCAGGGCTTCACCTTTAGCCTACTAACACTTGTACATTCTGAGCCAAACAACTCTATCAAGGAAGATGTTGAAAGACCTGTCCTGGGTTGCATTTGATTCAATCACATCTGGATGCTCTACTTCAAACTAGTTTGTAAATTGGTTTCTAAATAGTACCTTACAGCCCACTTCTAAGTACATATACCAGAAAATAAGCCCCACAGAGTTCAGAGGAATTTACTTTCTATGAAGGCTGTGTTTTGCTTTTAAATGAAGAACATACTGTATTCTGGGCTGGCCCTTATGATTTGTTCTCCTGCTATGTCCCTACAAAAACTTAATTTAAAAACTGAAGGCAGCAGCGGCACCTGTCCTGATTTCCTTTACGTTGCAAGCCTATATACATTACATTACATACAGACATGTTTCACTGAAAGGACTTTGCTTCTGGGTCTAGGTGAGTAGAATTGTGTCCTGAGTCTCTTTGGCTCCTTTAAGGATGTGGACTCAGCAGCTTAGTGATGTCATCCCTGGAATGTCCATCTGCCAAAGGCAAAGACCCACAACAGAGGCCAAAGCCGCCTGCAGGGGCTGTGTTTGATCAAGGCCCAGCAATCTGTACTGGGGCTAAGCTCACATTTAACAACTTCTGGAGGTTTATTTGAGGAAAAGCCACCAGTACTTAGGTTGCAATCTTGTGCTGATTCACCTGCTTGCAAGTCAGTGAGGGGTTTACTTCAGAATAATAATAATAAAAACATACACACATAGGATTGCACAGTTAATGTCTCTAGATTCAAACTTCCAGTCATTCACACTGGGATATGTCAGAGCCCACAGCTGTTAAGAATCAGTGGGAGTTTTGCCATTGACTTTAGAGAGCTGTATATTGCATGTCCTTGGAGGTTTACCCCAACGCCCATCTCTTTCTGTGAGTGAGTGAGTGAGAGAGAGAGAGACTGAGACTGAGGAGCATTAGTTAATCTGGCAGGCAAAGAAGAAGGGAGTTTATGTCACTCTGGGGGTCAAGCTTTCAGATGGTGACTGGCTAGTTGAAAACTGTCAGTCATCATCCCATCTCCCTGCAGCTGGGGCCTCAACACCACTACCAACACCAACGCCACCAAGAATTTCCTCGTGCTACTGGAAAAAACTTGCATCCATTTAAGCATTCCCAACAGTGAAGACAAATATTTGTGTAGTTCTTCCTAGCCGCCCCCCCCCTTTTCACCCCTTTTACACTTCCATCTTCACACTATGGACCAATTTTCTTGGAACAGCCAGAGGCTTTGACTTATAAAATTTGGTCCATATCCTAAATAATTAATTCCAAGCCTGCAGCCAGGGTCAATACTTGTTGCATCCATTTTAGAGTTTGATTAATCACCCTGGAACTCAAAGCAAACTGAACTACACTGTGGCCAAAAGGAGCCCTGGTTTATCTCTAAAGACTGGTGGTTACAGATTTATTTTTTCTCTCTATTTATATGCAAATATGTCTGTGTTTTAATAAGCATATATAGGTATAATATATCTCTGTAAAGATATTGAAGTGTCGTTTTGTCTTTCATTTGAAGATGTTGATCATTTATTACAAAAATAAAGGAATAAATACAACAATAAATTGTTGCTTTCAACAGGATAAATATTTTACAAATATATAATTTAAAAAAACAAATGTAACTGTTAAAATTATGCAAAATATGACACATATTGATAAAATTATCAATAATATATACTGCATTTCTTGTTGTTAGAGCAGATTGTTTTCTAAAGTATCAGCTGAAAACCATTCATACAAAACAGGTCTCCACCATTGTAATACTCAAACACCATTCACTTCATTGAAAGAGAAATAATCTCTTTTTTAAAAAGAAAAGAAAAGGTGCAGGGAGAAGACAAGCCACTGTGATTTAAACAAAAATTGGAGATAGTTGCTCAACTACCCAAATTAAAAAAAGAAAAAAGAGGATTGTTAACAACACTGAAGTGACTACTTAAAAAAACACTTGCAAATTATTTGCTGGCTAGAGAAATGGATGGGATTGCAGTAGGAAGGCAAGAAGAAGTAAAGAAAAGACTGAAGGAAAGGGGGTAGTACATTTTAAACCTTAGAACCAATTCACATGGATTAAATACAACTTCGTAAAATATATTTACTCCCATCTGCCTTTGACTAAAAAAGAATATGGGGAAATGCCTGACAGAGTAATCCTATGCATATTTTCTCACTCCCTTTTTGTTCAATGGGACATATTCCTAGATGGGCATAGGACTATCTCAACATTCTGAGCACCATAATCTGTTTATAAATCCTGTGTTACATAAAATAAATAAAACACAGGATTTATAAACAGATTGTGGTGCTCAGAATCATTAAGAGATCTGGGAGTATAGGACATTATTTTCATTATTTACATATTACAATACAAGCTTCCCATGTATCCACATTCTAAGTGTTCCATGAATTTGTAGCTCTGAAGCTCCTACAGTGTGTATTATTTGAAAAAAAGAGGTGGGGAAGGACAAAATTATCTTGAAAAATTCACTTTTATGCATGATAAGGACCCAGAGGTGGACACACTTGGCAAATATCTGCTTCCAAAAGTGACTGACATAAGAAGCAACTCAGGACATTACTTTCTTAACAGAAGAGCATGGGACCTGCTGTTTGCCCTTTGCCATTATTCAAATTCGATAACCAAATAGAAACTAAGGCATACATATAGACCTGTGTTGGCGCAGAGGAGAGCGAGTCTGTCTCACCTCTCTTTCCATTGGTATGAAAAAAACAGCAGTCCATCTCATGTTCTAAGAGTATCCACTGGGTAAAAAAGCAACTTTTTGGCCTGCATACTTGGAAGCCTCTTTTCTTCTTTCCCTGCACACAATAGGATTATTGACCCTTAACTTAGTTTTTTCTTTTCAGGTTATAAAACATTACATGCTTCCTTTGGAACAACTTAAAAGAAATGATATCCTATAATAGTTTCCCCGCATGGGACCTTCTCCTATCCTCCTTTGGATGCTGCCAGTCAACATGGCTGTGGCATACTCTATACCACTAGTTTAATCTGGAGTGAGACTTACTGGAAAGGAATTAATAATGTTAACTTGTTTTAAACCACTGTTACCATCATATGGCATCAAGAAAGGGAGCTGTCGGTCCACTGAAATCCTCATATTCATCAACATTATCAGTGTTTCCTGACTCCCTCTGGGATTGAGGGACTTGCTGTGTGGCTACATTTGCACTGCAAAAGTAGATTTACAGCCTCTAAACTTGCCCTGACTCCCCCCTCTCTCTCTCTCTTTCTCTGTGTGTGTGTGTGTGTGTACATTTCCACCATTAGAACAACGGAAAACAATTATGGGAACCTATTGTTTAACAGTGTGCCTACTCTATTATCTCTACTATCACCAACACTCAGACTTAATATAAAAGGTATGTCTGCTGTAGCATGGAAATAAAACATTTAATACCTGTACTCATTTCACATACCACACATATCCCTAAAGCAACACAACAACAAGGACCATGACTATACTTTACTTTCTTTTCTCTCTGTATACATGTACTCTTAAAAGTATCATTTAAAAAAAATTATAGAGATAAATAAAAAGTTACACACATACAATGCATCAAAATAATATATTGTCTCAGAAACAACATCCCTAGGCGTTACCTTTTGGAAACAGAAAGGATGGTCGGGTGGAGACATAGCTAAACTCCTGCAAAGGTGGTATCTTATCACCTGGTGGGGGAGATCTATTCTGCAAAGGTTGGATCTTAAATAAGGAATTAAACAATGGCCTTCTGTTCTAAAGCCCTGCTTTATCATCCCATTACACACAGTCAGATCTACAAATGTTGTGGAAGTACATATGGATTTCTAAGGCGCTAACCTACTTCTTAAAGGCTAACCTGACCAATAATGATGACGGGGACCCCTTCCCATAAAAACACCATAAATATGGTAGAGGGGACAGGTTGGTTCTGTTTTTGATTCTTCCCATGAGAAGATTTTCAGGATATTGTTAAGAAAACTTATTCAACACATTTTTTTAGTCATCAGACGAAGACTATTTCATTCTAACAAATTTATTTTCTCAGTCAGCTCTTACGGAATCACTACTCAAATTAAATTACAATCAAATTATCACATCAAAAGATACCCTTATTACCTAATAGCTGTCCGTATTTTTTTTCATTTCATTTTTTAAATTTGTGCTCATTTGAAAAAAACACGTAATACAAGATCTGGGGGAAAAATAAATTACCGTTTTTGCAGCAGTTCATAGGTATTCTGAATAAAATATTAAAAGAAGTCATTTAATGAAAATATAAAGCAAATTTTTTTTTAGATCAACAACGGATCTAAACATTTCTCTATTGCCGTCTTTTTTTCTTTTTGTTTGTTTGTTGAAAAGTCTGTTTATTAAAACCTACCAAAAACACTGCGAGGAAATGGCAGTATTATATAATCACATCCACAGCACCCATTCAATCAAGTTGGCAACGGATTTTAGGAGAGAGAAGTTCAGATAAGTGCAGCTGCAGATGCCCCGTCCTTTTAAAAATCCCTTTATCTGAATTAGTCCAGAAATAAAAAATAAAAAATACCAATTCAAAAAAAAAATATTAGCAGTGAACTTTTTTTAAAAAATTAATCTTCCAGGATGATTGGCAGCCATCAGAAGCATAAACTTGGACAGCCCTGAATTATTCCCTTTATGTCGCTGTTTCGTGCAAAATCCTTCTACAGAGCTCCAACTTTTAAGGACCAGCAACCTAGCTTTACTTTTTTCCACTCTCCCTCGCTGGTAGGAGTCCCTCCCTCTACCCTCTTTCTTTTCAGGGTGAGTTTTCAATTTGCGAGTCTTTCTTTCGTTGTTTCTTTCATCTTTCCCCCTCTCTTTATCCCCTCCTCCCTCTTTCTTTTTTCTCCTCGCATATAATTTTGCTTTCCTATCCAACCAGCTTGACTTTTTTTTAAAGAGATGCCTGCCTTATTTTCTTTCTCTCTCCCCTACGTAGAGAAGGTGACCCTCTCCATTATGCAGATTATTATTTTTCCTATTCTTTTAAAAGGGGCTCCTGTCTTGGCATTATCGAAATAATGCAGTTTGGTCAAGGAAAAACTACATTGTTCTAGAATACAATGAGTATCATCCAGGGAGATTTTGCCCCTCACCTTCCTCCTTCCCTCTTGGACCTTACGATTAGAAGGAGGAGGAGGAGGAGAAAAGCCTGCGTGTGCCTACATGTGTGGAGCTAAGACAGTTAGACAGAAAGTTCCTTTCGATGAAATCTTGTAAAGCAGTCCTTTAAAAGGACGTGTGTGTGTGTGTGTATGTGTGTGTGTTTGTGTGTGTGTGTGCGCGCGCGCGCATGGGGGGTGGTGGTGGAAGGCGTGAAGCTAGGGAATGAGGATGGACCAAAGACACACAGAGAGAGAAAGAGAGAGGGGGAGGGAGGGAAAGCCAGCGCACAGTGTAGAAGTAGGCGCTCTCACTGCAGCAACAATAGCAGGGCATAATTTAGGGGTTTTTTTGTTATTGTTCTTAGGCTGTTAAGGAAAGGATGTCTTTGGGTTTCAACAATGCTCTGCAAGGTAGAATTTTAGTCGTCCGGATGGCCAACTCCCAGTTGTCCAGACACATATTTTTTTTTCAAAAAAAGGGAAAGAAAGCCTGCGAGTTTGTGTTTGGACTGCAAGTGTGTGCGTTTTATGTTATGGTCTGTGTATTCCCCATCCCTCCCTCAACCCCCTGTGCCCACCGCTGCTTTACTCGCTTCTCTCCCCCCGCTTTCTCCCTCCTTTTCCCCTTCGCTCTTTCTGCCTCACCCTCTCTTCCTGTCCCTTCTTCGCCTCAAGAATCCCTCTCACTTTCGCGACGATGCCTGCCTGCCTGCCTGCTCACTGCACGCTCGTCTGGAGTCCGTGGTGTGGGGGCGGCGTGTCGGAGTTCACGTTGCCGACCTGGGAGTAGACATCGTCGGGTGTCTGCTGCTGGATTCCCGGGGGGGTCATCCGTTTCTCTTTCTGCCTCCGATTGCAAAACCAAACCCTGACCACCTCTTTTTCCAGCTGCAGGCTGTCCGCTAGGTTCGTAATCTCCTGGGCGGAGGGCTTGGGGCATTTCAGAAAGTGGCTTTCCAAGGCCCCCTTGACACTCACCTCGATGGAGGTCCGCTTCTTCCTCTTCCTGCCTTGCGCCGCGATCTTGTCGATGCTGGTGGGGCTGCCCGTGGAAGAGTCGGCTTCCTCCAGCCATTTGTTCAACAGGGGCTTGAGCTTGCACATGTTCTTGAAGCTCAGCTGCAGAGCCTCGAACCGGCAGATGGTGGTCTGCGAGAACACGTTGCCGTACAAAGTGCCCAGGGCCAAGCCCACGTCGGCCTGCGTGAAGCCCAGCTTGATCCGGCGCTGCTTGAACTGCTTGGCGAATTGCTCCAGGTCGTCGGAAGTCGGCGTGTCCTCGTCCGAGTGCGGGTCGTGGCTGTTGAGCCCGCCGCCGCCGCCGCCGCCTCCGTGGTGCGGGTGCGGGTGCGGGTGGTGATGGTGGTGGTGATGATGGCCCGGGTGGTCGCCCAGCTCCGGCGTGTCGCCCCTCACCAAGCCCGGGTGGACCAGGCTCTGGCTGCCGGGCGGGGGGCTCAGCATGCCGTTGACCGTGAAGCCGC